ACTCTACAGATCAGGAGCCACTCCAGTAAATTTAATGAAGTTACTCTAATTTTACAGTAATATGATAAAACCAAACTTAGATTACAGGAGACACAAAGCCATTTTTTAACCATCTCACGGATGTTGCTAGAGACAGAAGCTTTTCCTCTGGTTTGCTGAATAGACAACCATAAATGCATGTCTTTCAGACACAGAAGCTATATTTCTATAAAACACTATTTCAGGCTACGCAAAACCAGAGCTCATTTCAAGTGTGACAGCACTTTATCAATGCCGAATATAGGAAGAGAGGAATTCTTCCTACTTATAGCCAATACAAAGTAGGCAATCTCTTGGCATGTATACTGACTTACACATTTTTCTTTAAAGGAGACCCAGACGCAAGTATCTTGCTGAGCTTTTGACACAAGTGGAATGGAGAGTATGGGGCTTTGAGTTCTGAAGGCTCTTGTGATTCAGACTCTGCCCACATCTTGGTTTCCTTAGTTCACAGTTATTGTAATATCCTGAACCTCACAGCTACCATAAGTTTGTTTGTTTGGATTTGGGGGGGGGGGGTGTTTTTTTAAATAAAGGCTAATACCTTTTTTATTTGTCAAGGCTTTTGGCATAGCGCTGACATAGTGCTTGGATCTTATTTGATTGATTTTGTCTTAATAGCTGTTCTTTGTTGTGAAATGTATAAAACACTACAGGGGATGGTGTTTCATACACAATGTGTTTTTTAAGACTGACAGAATCTAGGATGTCACATCCTGGAAAGTGTGCCAGCTAGGAGAATTTCCTCAGAACAGATTATGGGACCATGTGTAACTAAGCAAATGAAGGGAATGGAAAATAATTAGCCCTAAACAATAAACAAAAGAAAAATAGCTAGCAACAATATCGCTGGTAAAATTAAGCACCCTTCAGGTATGTCTACACTGCAGTTAAAAACCTGCAGCTAGCCCATGGTAGCTGTCTCAGGCACTATTTAATTGTGGTGTACATGTTTGGACTCTGGCTGGAGCCTGGGCTCTAGGACCCAGATCTCGGATGGAAGCCTGAGCCGGAACATCTAAACCACAATTAAATAGCCCCTTAGCCTGAGCCCTACAAGCCCATAACCAAAAGAAACCCAAATTCCTACATTTCATCTGTGTCCTAAGTCCTTTCTTTCCCTCCTCTCTTCTGATTTCCAGTAAGGTTTCTTCAAAACCCCCTTTGATTTCTCACTTCTCTCCCGTACTTCCTTATTCTCTAGTCTCCCTCACTCCTTTTCTCCCAGGAGCCCCTGGGGATGTATTTTGTATCTTCTTCCCCCTCTACATGCACACAGTCCCATTTCAGAGTCAATTTCTCATCAACTCTCCTTCCTGAATCCCACGGATGCTATTTCTTCAGTTACTATAGCTATATCACCAAAGAGAATATGAATCAAACCCAGCAAGAACTAACATCTTCTGCTATTTCACTACTACCTTCCATCTTTTTGTGCATCTCCACAATTCAACTCTTAGTCTGAAACTCCCCACTGAAACTCATCTTCTCCTTCTACTTCAGTGGTTCTCAAACTATTGTACTGGTGACCCCTTTCACATAGCAAGCCTCTAAGTGCGACCCCCCCCACCCCTTTAAATATATAAACAAGTGTTTTTAATTTATAACACCAATAAATGCTGGAGGCAAAGCGGGGTTTGGGTGGAGGCTGACAGCTCACGACCTCCCAGATAATAACCTCATGACCCCCGAGGGGTCCCGACCTCCAGTTTGAGAACCCCTGTTCGACTCCTATTTGTGGCTCTCCATGCCTAGTGGAGGACTGTACCTGTACAGTAACTCCTTGCTTAACGTTGTAGTTATGTTCCTGAAAAATGCGACTTTAAGCGAAACAATGTTAAGTGAATCCAATTTCCCTATAAGAATTAATGTAAATGGGGGGGTTACGTTCCAGGGAAATTTTTTTCGCTATACAAAAGACATGTGCGTGTGTGTGTGTGTGTGTGTGTGTGTATACACACACACACACACACACACACATACACACACAGTAT